TATATATATCCCCTCAAGTCATCAAGGTCACTTTATGATATGTATGTCTGCCTAATTTAAAAGCAAACGTTTTCTTACTGATCATGTCTAAAATTCCTATCCAGAAATTTATGTGATTTTTTTTTCTCCCATGATGCTCTTTGTTACCTACTGTGTCTGTAATGACACTGGATGTTTTGTGAGCACAAACTTGCATGCTAGAACATAGGTTTTGATAATTGAAAAGAAGGAAAATAACTCTTTTTTGCAGTGAACATTAATTGATCTCTAATGACCTGTTTTGATCCCCTATTTCTTAAAAGTTGTTTAGGCGATCATAGTTTTCATTAATGCTTAAACTTCCTGAAAAGATCGTTACCATCCTCTCTTGTGCAGTGCAGGCTCCTATGCAAATGTATGGGGCAGCATTTTAGTGTCCCTGGTGGTGCCTGACAAAAGCCTTATTTCTGCTCCCTCTTCTTGCCACTAGACTTCTTAACAGGCCATTGTATTTTCCAGAAGTGGGAAAGGATAACGTTACTAGGGAAGCAAGAGAAAGAAAAGCAGCAAGAGCTTCTTTTAGCTGACCAGTCAACTGGATATTGACCACCTGTCTTCATGGGAAAGAAATAGATGGCAGTGAATAAGCGAGAGTCTAGTTTTCCAAGAAGCTCAATGATTTTCCCAAATCAATACAGCTCATCAGGCCTCAGAACAAAGGCTTCGGGGGAGGTGACAGTGATGGAAGTGGCTCTGTGTTCTTTTGTGTATTAAACCATAAGGCCCATGGGGAAACAAGGTTTCTTTAGCTGTTTTTTTTTTTTTTCTTTTAAAGGCTTATTCAGTGTATTTAGAGGGAAAATCCTTTCAAATATGTTTTTAAAAAGATCTCCATAGATTGTATACTGATGGCTCAAATGTATTTTGAAAGAGATAAACATAGTCTAGTAAGAAAGAATACTGTTTTAAAATGCAGATTAGAATAGCATTTTGCCATTGCTTTTTTGGTATTGGTTAAAGTTTATTTATTTTTTTCCTTGTTATTTATGGCTGGTATTTAGATGAACCTAGAAGAAAGTCTCAGTGTTCAGATTAACCTCTGGCCAAGAATCTTCACTATCCTCCCATAAATGTGAACCTTGTTCCCAATGTCCTGAAAATAGCACCAAACCCTAATCGGAATGCTGAACTGTCATCTTAGAGGTTATAATTAATGTAGATAGAGCGATGCCAACATATTCCAGCCGCCGACAGAGAAGATCAACCCAAACCAGCAATTTTTAGTCCTTCAGTCCTTTAATCTTTAAGCTCGCTGTGCTTTCCATAAAGTAGTACATTAACACCAGAGCAGTGTGTCTCTGGGGTTTATGACTGGGGTGGCGGCACACTAGGGCATGAAGTGTTTCATTACACTTCCTTTTGTTAGTGCTGCCCTATCTCCCAAGCTCCATTGCCATACACTATTTGTTCAGATAAAGCCCAGTGTTCAGGGTGACTAATCGCAGCACTGTGTTCCAGATGGTTTGATTACAGGATGTGGTTAAAATGACTCTTCAAACATTCAGCCCAGCAGTAGGGCTCTTTAAAAAAAAAAAAAATACTGTTTTTATGGTCATGTGACAACACTTAACTTTTCTTGTCCTAGTGCTCCATATATACTTGGTGTAGGGAACAGGAAAGTCCCTCTGCTTTGGGGCTGACAGGTACTTTGTGGGTTACCTTAGTTAAAAAATTTAAAAATTTCCCAAACATTTAGAAACTCAACTCAAGCCTCTGAAGAAGGCTCTGTCTGAAGATGAAGAGCTCTGCAGCTGGAGCAATGAATAAAGGGGACTCTTTGTCAGTTTCAGCCTAAAAAAGAAACTGGTACTGAATATAGCAGAACAAAACCAACAAAATATTAGGGGAATGAGTTCTGAACAAGGAAACGGCGATAAATCAGACTTTGTGCAAGAGTCACATTGTGTGAGAATGTGGGATAACATGATATCTGAAACATAGGTTCTTTATCCTGTGCTCATGAAACTAGAATATTGTGGCACTTTTATCATCACCAATGTTTCACTAGAAAGAATATGTAAAAGGAAAGAAATGTGTAAACTTTGAAAAGAAGGATTAGGGCATAAATGAGTTACAATTTGGTATTATTAGAATGAGGTTTCTGTTTTCTGCTTGAGTGCACACCAAGTCCATCCAGATGTGGTAGTCAGAATAAGAGTTTGAAAACACTTCTGTCTGATTCCAAATTCAGCATTTGCAATGATTGGCAAAGACATCTGTCCCAAGGATGAGGCATTTTAAAGACTCTGAGACAGTCTTTAAACCGTAATATAAACATTTTATGCCAATCCACTGGGAAATCAGGCATTTGCCCATTTCTACAGGAAACAGCTTCACAAATACCAGAAATAATAATTCATAAGCCACATTTATAACATCTTTGGAATAAAATCTCTCCACAGAGAATGTCTGTCATCTATAAGCTAGTGAGAGATTTGCTTATTGAAAAAGTACGGTAATAGTGGGAAAAGAAGCCCTTCAGAACTCAGCCTCTGTTCCAATTATTTCCTAAGTATTCTGTGAGCTCTCACTATAAGCCAGGCACTGTGCTTCTGGGGGTTTGTGGGTGCAAGCACTCTCCCTGATCTTAAGGAGTTTCACCTAGGTGGATGAGATAAGCTCACTTGTAGTGAGTGGAGTGAAATGTTAAAGGGATATGTATCAGGGTGGACACAAAGTCTAACCATATTCATACAGGCTGGGAATTTACTTGTTCATCTAATAAACTGAGTATTCCTGGTGAATTCTCTTCACTTAGGAACCCAGATGTAGAATAATATGCCAGTTTCAACTTGTGACCTTCAGGGTTACTATAGTCATTTCTATCTTTACCAGAAAGGGGAGGAGACCAGAAGAATATGCATGGGAGGCTCTTATGGGCCTGGCCTGGATGCGACCCACACCCCTTTAGTCATTTTTTTTTTTTTGATAGAATGCAGTTATATGGCCACTGGTAGGGAGGCCAGGTCCAGCTGTGGACTCAGAAAGGGGAGGAAAATATGCATTCTGGTGAGCATCCATCAGGGAAAGCTGTGTATGGAGTCCAGCTGAGAACCCAGGAGAGAATGATTATTTGGGGGTGATGGCATTTTATGTGTACGAAGAAAGAAAGGATTAATATAAGAGATAATACTAAATTTGTCACTGTTTGGTCCTAATTTATTGAGAAATTTAACTTTCCTTAAGGATTGTGACTAAGACCCCTTATTTTAAGGTTTCCTTCAGGGGAGTTAAAAGTGTGAGGTGCAGAATAGTTGAAGAAAGTTGTCTAGGCTGGAGGGACAAAAAGAGAGGTGAACTGGAAGGGAGAGAATACCAGCATGGTTTTGTCCTTGCACGGATGAAATGCTGGCAGGTCGTGGAGGGGTGGACTGCTTCTGCGGGGTATCAGAAGGCACAGCCAAGATCAGGTATTCAAAGATAGATTTTAGGTTAAGACAAGGAACAAATTTTTAATAAAATGGCTGGAAATTAACTAGGTGGTCCTGGGTGACTGCTGGTAAAATCCTCATCAGTGATGAGGCCAGAAGAAGAGGGACATACAAAAGTGTTAAGGGCATTCACCAGCAGTTTGCTTCCTTGCCTCATAGCTATTGCATCCCTGCAGCTTTGGCCCATATGGTCCTTTTAGCCTTTTAGTCATTTACAACCTTTAGGCCTTCTCACAGTACCAACTCTCCAGAACTTCCGTATTCCTAATTCAGCTTCTCAGCATAAATCTGTTTGACTGCCTCTGCTTTAGATGCCTTGGACTGTTCTAGTCCAGTGGGCATCTGAAGCAGAGGGCCAGATCTGAGAGGCTGGTCACTTTTATCTTCTGAGCAGGGACTGAGGGCAAGGTGGGCACCCAATAATACCACACCCAGGGCCCTGTCTAATGTGAGGCCATAAAAAGGGCCTACTCTGTAAATGTGAGTATTACAGAACCAGCCTGTGTTGGAAGATTTCAAACTCTTCATGAAGTTTAAAAGATTTCCAGCCAAACTGTAACAATTCAGTAGCAACTAATGTATAGCCCATAAACAGAATAAACACTTGATGGGCCTATCTTCCTAAGATCTCTTGACTGACGAAATAGAACACTGGAATCATATGAGGTCTCAGGGCTGTTTTGGCTTCTATAGAGATAAGGGACTTGTGCTATATAATAAATACCATGTTCATATTAGGTGCCTTGTAGGTAATATGCTTTTGGGAGCAGCATCTCAGATTCTGCTTCAGTATCTGAACCAAAGTATCAACACTACAGAGAAGAAAAGGTGTGGTGAGCATTCTCTCAAACATCCTTTGTATGTTTCTGCTGTCTGCTAGTAATAAGGTGTGGGTATTTTTCAAATATAAAAAAAATGTTACAAGGCAATCATTAACTCTTTGAGAAAGACCATGCCTAGTCTGTGGTAGATAGGGGAAGATAATAAACCTTTGAGATTTCTGAGAATATAAAGATGTAAAGGACTTGTATAGAGCATCCCTAGCACCTAGCTCATAGGCTAATGTTTGAAAGAAAACAGCAAATCTTTGGGGGAATAAATGTAAATTTATTTCCAATTTACACATCTTTATGCCCATATTTCTAAAAGTTGGTTTTATACTTTTAGAGGACTAATTTTCATTTAGAACATTTATGTCCTTAGTATGTATAGTCTGCTTTATATTTTTTATATTTTGTAATATTCCAGATTTGAGATTTCAGCAAAAATCATAAACTGTTTACATGTTTTAGAGCTAAAACACCACTTTTATTCTTGGCCCTTCATAATGGGATGTTGTCTAAACATAGACCTTCTTACAAAGAAGCAGTGCACTGTTTATATTGTAGTACAGTAGTTTATATGAGGAACATTCCTTAAGCCTTCAATCCAACACGGAGGGGCAGTTTTGTTAACATTTGCATGTATATATTCCTACGTGGATTCTAGGCAGATTTAAATTCTGTGGCATTGTGAATGGCTTGTACATGTAAAGATAGACACAAGCCCATGTATCTAATTAGCAGTGCTTGATGGAAACCTTTCAAAATCTCCCTGGGAGTGATGGATTTGTCTTAAGCATTGTATATGCTTCTGGAAAAATAAAGGGTGACTTATTTAAGTTGAAAATGGGTTTTTCTTTACCTGCTGAACACCATCACCAACAACAAATAACATCACCTGGTACTTAGATTAGAAGTCTGCTTGTGTGGCTTCTAGAGAGTAGCAGCTGGGAATAGTTTATGTGGATACTGCAGCTGCAGTTCAGCCTTTGTGACAGTTTCAACCTGTAGCCCCGAGACTGATAGATTGCTTTGGGTCCCCTACTCGTCTCTGGCCCCACTTTCCCCCTGATCTGGTTTTGGGACCGCGAATTCGGATCTGAGTTGGGTTGGCATGTCGTGCTGAGCCGCGGGGCGTACGTGATGGAGCGGAAACGCGGCCCCTCCGCGCGGATCGCAGCCTTCTTCCAAGGGACGGTCCTGGTTAGCGTAGACGAGCCTGCGCGGACCGAGGGGGCCGGGCATCGCGGACAGCCCTCCGGTCGCCGGGCGCACTGGCCCTCGCTCCGCGCGCCGGCAGACCCTGGGGCAGCATCCTCCCACCCGCGCGGCTCCTTTCTCTCCGGCCGCTGCCTCGAGTGCTTCGCTGGCCGCCCTCGGCCCAGCCAATCAGACGCGAGCGTTCGCAGCGGGCGCTGGCCAATCCGCGGCCAGCTTTTGCTGGAAACGCGAAACCCTTAGGGGAAAAGCAATAACAAAAGCCTTTCACTGCAGACAAATGTTAAGTGTCTGTGCAGACTTTTCCTGTTTTTAATTTTATTACTGCAAGAATGGAGGGTTTGTTGTTTCTTTCATGTTTCCTTTCAAGCAGTTTTAATTATACATTTGTGCTACATCAGGGACTCTGGAACGCAGTGATTCAGCCTATTGCATCTAAAGCTAAAATGCAGTAACCTTCTGGCAATACAGATATATTCCTGCACTGTAAATATAGCTGACATGCTAAAGAATTTTAAGCAGCTGCAAAGGTCTTTGACACCACACACAGTGCCCCAGAGAGCAGATGATGAGAAAACCAGCTCAGTCTTCCCCTTCGCCTCCTCTCCCACCCCCTCCCCTTTCCTGAAGGGATGTGCTCATAAAGAATCCTTTCCTCCAATTGTTCTGTCTTGTGCAAATTCTGACCAAATGCCTAATTACCACTGATTATCATCGCAATACAAATTTTTATATTCAATGGTTCAAAAAATTTCCTGAGGGAATTACAAAGGAATCAGCCATGAGTTGAGGAAATGCTTGCTTTGCTTCATCCTAGCTTTTCTTCCCCTGCTAGACTATTGCTACAATAGACTGAATTTACAGTGAGTAAATTCAGCTGTCGTATAAGCACTAGCAACTTAAACCATATGGGAAACAATTTTTAAATCTCTTTTTTGAGACTTTTGAAAGAAAATCTTCCTTCTCTGTTACTTGAGTCCCAACCATTCAAATATTTACCCGCTGTTTAAAGGTTCCCAAGGAAATGAGTCTTACCTTGTGAGGTTTCTCTTACCCTAAAGGATCTTAGTTCGGATTTTCTGTAAAATTCAAACTGTCAGGGGTAGCTCAAGTGAACAAACCAGCTAGAAACAGACTTTGAGGGATGTCCTCTGGTGTTTCCAAGAAAGAACGGGAGGTTGATGCAGAAAGAAAACAAAGGTTCGCTTAGATTTTTCATTTATTTACCCTAGTATTTTATTTATGTCTCAAAATCTAAGTCCTCCAAAAACGTGCTTTAAATGAGAGATTTTTAAAAAGTGGCACCTGCCCTCCAGGGAAACAGGAGGATGTTATATTTTGTTTCCTGTGACATTTGGTATACTAAGTGCACTTAAGTTTAGTAATTCACAGATGCAGTGCTAAATTAAATTGTCTGTCTGCAAAGCAGTGGGGAAAAGCAAAACGGCTTGCAGGAAACAAGTGTGTTGGTTTTGAGATTTCTTCTCTAATCCTCTGTGGCAAATGCTTACCAAAGTTGATTCTAAAGATAACCCCAAGAGCAAATCTATTGTGCACATTTATTTTCTTAAGAGGGCTATTTTAGGAGTCCTTAATATGAAACAAGACCAAAGAGTGAAACAGATACCATACCAAGGCTGATTATTGTCTCACAAACTCAAAGAGAGAAGGATTAAGGAAGAGGAAACATGGCTGATTGTCTGCTTTCTGGACTCTGAGCCCCCACTTTCCCCTCTGTACCTGTTTTTATGCACATGCATAATTTTTTTTTGTTAATAAAAATCACCATCATTTTACATTGTTGAATTGGAAACAAAACCTATTTCTTTCAGTCACCTTCTGGTTTAAGCACTGGTAACTGGCGCTTAGTTTATGTTGGCTGCTTGCCAAACGAAAGCAATTATGTGTAATAATAGAAAAATTAAGAGGTGAGTGTTGCTGTTTTACAGCAGGACATGGCAAAAACCATTTCCTTCTGTCAGCAGTATCTTGATTACACTCTCACACACAGTCTCACCCTTTTGTACCACATGCACGCACGCGCACAAATTCACACACATACACACACACACACACACACACAATTTCCTGTGGGTTTTAACTTGAGGTCACTGAAACCAGAAAGAGGAAGAATGCAAACCACAGCTTTTGAAAGCAAATGGAAATAGAACTTTGCTGATAAAAATAATAACAATAAATGAAGTGGAAATAAAATAATCAGTGTTAAATGTGGTCCCTTTTCATCCTTTACCCCACCCCCACCCCCCGCAGGTGTCCTAGTGGTCAATGTCACGTGGAGGAACAAAACTTACGTGGGGACCCTACTGGACTGTACCAAGCACGACTGGGCCCCTCCCAGGTATGCACAGGGCCTTTTGTTTCTCTTCTTTTTCTCCTTTCCTCTCCTCTTTGCAAGGAAACTATAGAAAGAGATTAATAAATTTTAAAAGTCTGCCTATAATTGAAAACAGGCAGAAGAGAAATGAGCAATTCAAGACTGAACATAGTAAAATGCAGACGGCTAGCTTTTCTCTCAGGAGATCTCTACTCCTTGCCCCTTCCCTCTCTGCTTTGTCTTCTTTTCTCAAAATGGGAATCTGAACTGGATTAGAACCTAGCTACCTGAGCTGTTTCTCTTTCAATTTTCTGAACAGGGAATATAAGCCATTGATTGGTAGCCTGTTCTTTTGGGGGTGCTGAAATTATCATTGGAAGAATGAGGAGTCTTACCTGGGGTGGCCCACAAGCTGTGGAGATGTTGACTCCTCTTTGCCACATTGTATCTTGTGATCCCACTGTTCTTTTTGGGGGTGCTCATTTTGACAACTGTTAACTTGCTTCCCTAGGTTTTGTGAGTCACCGACAAGTGATCTGGAGATGAGAGGGGGCCGGGGCAGAGGGAAGAGAGCAAGGTCTGCCGCAGCGGCCCCTGGCTCCGAGACCAGCTTCACCGAGTCCAGAGGGCTTCAGAGCAAGAACAGAGGAGGGGCCAATGGGAAAGGGAGGCGGGGCAGCCTCAACGCCAGCGGGCGAAGGACACCCCCAAATTGTGCAGCCGAGGAAATCAAAGCCAGTCCTTCTTCTACCAACAAAAGGAAAAACAAGCCTCCAATGGAGCTGGACCTGAACTCCAGCTCTGAGGACAATAAGCCTGGGAAGCGGGTCCGCACAAATTCTAGAAGCACCCCCACCACCCCTCAAGGGAAACCAGAGACTACTTTTTTGGACCAAGGCTGCTCCTCTCCAGTGTTAATCGATTGCCCCCACCCCAACTGCAACAAAAAGTACAAGCACATCAATGGCCTGAGGTACCACCAGGCTCATGCACACTTAGACCCAGAGAACAAGCTGGAGTTCGAGCCTGACAGTGAGGACAAGATCTCAGACTGCGAGGAAGCCTTGAGTAACGTGGCCATCGAATGCAGCGAGCCAAGCACAAGTGTGTCAGCTTATGACCAGGTGAAGGCCCCCACCTCTCCTGGTGCTGGAAACCCCCCTGGAACCCCCAAGGGAAAGAGAGAGTTGATGAGCAACGGCCCAGGTTCTGTTATCGGTTTGAAGGCGGGAAAGAATTCAGGCAAAAAGAAGGGCCTCAACAATGAACTGAACAACCTTCCAGTAATTTCCAACATGACGGCCACATCAGAGGGTTGCTCGGCGGTAGATGGCAGTTTGGCTGCAGAGATGCCCAAACTGGAAGCAGAAGGACTGATTGACAAGAAAAGTTTGGGCGATAAAGAAAAAGGCAGAAAAGCTAACAACTGCAAAATGGACAAAAACCTCTCCAAGCTGAAAAGTGCCCGTCCCATCGCCCCTGCCCCAGCCCCCACACCCCCACAACTAATTGCGATACCTACTGCAGCCTTTACGACTACCACCGCGGGGACAATACCTGGACTGCCCTCCCTCACAACAACTGTGGTCCAGGCCACACCAAAGAGTCCTCCATTAAAACCCATCCAACCAAAGCCCACCATTATGGGAGAGCCCATCACCGTGAACCCAGCTCTGGTGTCACTCAAGGACAAAAAGAAAAAGGAGAAGCGAAAGCTAAAGGACAAAGAAGGAAAAGAGTCAGGAAGCCCCAAAATGGATGCTAAGCTGGGGAAACTGGAGGACTCCAAGGGGGCTGGCAAAGATTTGTCTGGGCATTTTTTAAAGGACCATCTCAACAAGAATGAAGGGCTGGCTAATGGACTGTCAGAATCTCAGGAGAGCCGCATGGCCAGTATCAAAGCCGAGGCTGATAAGGTCTACACGTTCACAGACAATGCTCCCAGCCCTTCCATTGGGAGTGCCTCGAGGATGGAGTGCAGCGCTCTGGTGAATGGACAGGCGCCAATGGCACCACTGCATGTGTTGACCCAGAATGGGGCCGAGAGCTCAGCAGCAAAGACCAGCAGCCCCGCCTACTCAGACATATCTGATGCTGCTGATGATGGTGGCTCGGACAGCAGGTCAGAGGGCATGAGGTCAAAGGCCAGTTCCCCATCAGATATCATTTCTAGTAAGGATGGTGGTGTTGTAAAAGGGCATTCTTCAGCTACAGCACAATCGTCTCAACTGAAAGAGTCCCATTCTCCCTATTACCATGGCTATGATCCTTATTATTCTCCAAGTTATATGCACCCAGGACAGGTTGGCGCCCCTGCAACGGGGAACAGTGGGAACACACAGGGAATGAAGATCAAGAAGGAGTCTGAGGAAGATGCAGAGAAGAAAGACAAGGCAGAGCAGTTAGATGCTAAGAAAGTGGACCATAATTCTGCATCCCTGCAGCCTCAGCACCAGTCAGTGATCACACAAAGACACCCGGCCCTGGCTCAGTCACTTTATTATGGCCAGTATGCTTATGGACTCTATATGGACCAGAAGTCTCTGATGGCCACCAGCCCTGCCTACAGACAGCAATATGAGAAGTACTATGAGGACCAGAGGCTGGCAGAGCAGAAAATGGTCCAGACTGGGAGAGGAGACTGTGAAAGGAAAACAGAGCTCCCTTTGAAGGAGCTGGGCAAGGAGGACAGTAAGCAGAAAAACTTGCCATCAGCCACAATCTCAAAAGCTCCCTCTACTCCAGAGCCTAACAAAAACCATTCTAAATTAGGGCCATCAGTGCCTAATAAAACTGAGGAGACAGGTAAATCGCAGCTTCTCTCCAATCACCAGCAGCAGCTACAGGCCGACAGCTTCAAAGCTAAGCAGATGGAAAACCACCAGCTTATTAAGGAGGCTGTAGAAATGAAGTCTGTCATGGACTCTATGAAGCAGACAGGTGTAGACCCAACCTCGAGATTTAAACAAGTAAGATTGTGGAGCGTGGCCCCAACAGAGAGAGCAGTCTGAGACACATTACATGTCTGGGATTGAATTGGTTAGACTTGGAGAGAAACCAACATCAGGGGTTTTTCCTCTTCTCTTGAAAAATATCTTTAAAAAAATCCTGAGGACTTGTTGTGTAGCTCTAAAATGTACATTGCTCACTGTTTTATTGTCATGTTGTGTAGTAAAATGAACTCTAGACTTGCGCTTTGCAGACTTGTGATCCATGCCATCATTTAATTCTGTGATTTTGATGAGGTCCCTTAATTTCTTGCCGAGTCCAAGGTGAGGGCATTCCATTGCAGGGCTGCTGAATTCCCTACAGACTCTTGAGATTTTGAGTCTGAGTACTGAAGTACTTGTTCTTATATATTTCCAATTTTCTGTAGCATTTTCTCAGAATATTAAAACTGGGCACAGCCAGTTGTGGTGGTGCATGCCTGTAATCCCAGTGTCTGGGGAGGCTGAGACAGGAGGATTGCAAGTTTAAGACCAGACTCAGCAATTTAGCAAAGCCCTAAGCAACTTACTGAGACCTTGTCTCAAAATAAACAATAAAAAAGGGCTGGGTATGTAGCTCAGTGGTAAATTGCCCTTGGTTAAATCCCCAGTACCTCCCAAAACAAAAAACAAAACTCATTGGGCACCTAAGTGCCCTTTCCCATTCATCTTTTTAATACAGTTGAGGACTCGGATGTATTTCACCTAGGGCTTGAGATGCCTGGATTTCTGTTTTACATTCTGTGTTAAGTGCCCAAAGCAGAGCTCAGTGCTGAGGTTTGTGAAGAAGGTGAGGAGGTTTGGGTGATGAGTCTCAGCAGTCATCCCAAAGAACAGTCAGCCAGCCTAAGAACAACTGAAAACTGGTCACCATGAAATCACACGTGTGCTAGCACTTTCTGTCATGGTTCAGATATCCTGACTCACTGCAGCCCTGGGAGCATTAATTCTGGTATTTCCCAGCACCAATCCCCCAGTGCCTATGCTTAGACAGTCCCTGGTGAATCAGAATGAGAAACCTTTCCCCATGCCCATTTCTGCAGAGTTGGGGGGTGGACTTAACTTGGATTGTTCACCCAGGATCTGAATACCCAATGGGTTTATATCATGAATGGGATGGGGATCGCAAAGGTCATTAGGATTTTTAGTTTTCCCTCTTCCAGAGGCCTAAAAATCAGGCTGTTGCTTCATAGGCTACATTAGAATAATACAATTTAGGGATCTTATAGATGGCTTTATTTTATAATAGAGAAGCCATAATGTGTGCTGTGACTTTGAAATTTTGTTTTGATTAAGACATTAGCACATAATGAGAAGTTCCAGTATATGAAGCCTCAGCTGTGGTAGGTGGAAAAAGTATATTAGGAAAACAAGAGTTCTCGTCCTCCTAAATGATGTTAATATCTATAGTAATTACTTAAATCTACTATTATTAGCTTGAATTTTTAAAATCATTTTTTTACCTGTGTGAGATATTAAAAAGGAAAATGAGGATTGGATTAAATATATCTGAGGGTATTATTTAATGTTGAGAAATTATATTTTAAAGGCCCACCCTCAAATTCCAACAGACCTGAGTTTGAAGCCCTGATCCACAACTGGGCAGCCATGTGACCTTGGTGTTACCTGAATTTTAAAAGCTTTGGCTTTATTTTATCCATAAAGGATCATGAATAACCCCAGATATTACTAAGTTATGACAGAAGGAGGAGAGTAACACATTGTCTGGTACATACATAAATGTTAACTCAGTATGGGAGGTAACAGTAATAGTGCTGTCATAGTGATTAATGGGTTTTCTTAAAAAGTGAACAAAACTTCTTTTTTTTTTTTTAAATTAGGATCCAGATTCAAGGACATGGCATCATTATGTGTACCAACCCAAATATCTGGATCAACAAAAGTCAGAAGAACTTGAGAGAGAGAAGAAATTAAAAGAGGACAGTCCTAGGAAAACTCCTAACAAAGAGAGTGGTGTGCCCAGCCTTCCTGTATCATTAACAAGCATTAAAGAGGAGCCCAAAGAGGCCAAGCGTCCTGACTCTCAATCAATGGAAGAGAATAAGTTGAAAAATGATGATCGGAAAACACCTGTGAATTGGAAGGACTCTCGGGGGACGAGAGTGGCTGTGTCCTCACCCATGAGTCAGCATCAGTCATACATACAGTACTTGCATGCTTATCCTTACCCACAGATGTATGACCCCAGCCACCCTGCATACCGGGCTGTTTCTCCTGTCCTAATGCACAGTTACCCTGGTACGTGACATGTTTTGGGTTCTAAGTATGTTGGAGGGAAGAGGCTCTATTCAAATATGAGCTATTAAAAACTCAAGATAAATTGGAAGCTTCAAGAGTGACATTTGTTTTGCTTGTATTTTTTAATTGCTTAAAGTCTTAAAGATGTAACTTATTTAAATATAAAATTTTATTAAAAAAATGAAATGTCAAGAGTCTTCTGCTGTATCTTCCATAGTCTCTGATGGTCTGCTGTTAGACTGACAGTTACTTTATTGCCTATGAAAATATTCTAAGCACTTACTGTCATAAT